AATTGACAAGCCTTTCGTCACAATAGTGCATTGAGTTGGCACTCCAATATACATTGCATGATCATTAACAAATATATTTTGACGATACAGAAATATTACTATGATATTTAAATTATTTTTAGTCTTTAATTGCTCTATTTTAGTATGATTTAAGCTTACAATCTTTCGAACTCATATTATTGACTTCGATGATATCGTTTCAGTTGATTCTTTACCTGCTAATAATGTTATTTCATCATCTATCATAAAATTTATGAAAGCTATATTGCATTATATTAAGATGTGAATAGATTATAATATTATAAATCAAAATGAATTAATATTCATATTCCCATCACACTAGAGTATGTTGATTTTCAATGGTCTTTTTTTATTGCGTAAGACTAAAAATATTGGAAAAAGTAGATCAAAACTTGAATTTTTTTGCAGCTATTTGAGAGAGATAAAGGGAATTTAATATTGGTAATCCTTAATATCATTTCTTGAGATACTTACAGCATAAGGTATGCATAATCGGCTCCGGATGGAATAATATTTCTTTTCTTTATAGACATTTAGTTAATCTGATATTGATAGTGTTCTATGATAAAATATTCTTTGCAATTATACAGTTGCATAGGGACTGAGAGGCATCATCTCATGTATCACAGCCCGTTAGGCGGCTTCACAATCTGACTTAGAGAGATTCCTTGTGCCTGTTATAGTGAAAACAGTGTAGTACTCGTGAATGCTTACTCTGATCGCATGATTCTATCGTCGTTTTATGATCACACTTATGTTCATTGTCCTATCAGCCCGGTGTGATCCGCTCTGCCTGTACCCGTTTCCAAGTCGCGGAGGTTTCCCTGGTCTTGCACGTGACAGAACGAGAAGGAGCCCTTAATAGCCGGAAAGAGAAGTGAATAGTAATCAGAATCATTTTATTAAGCCAGCTAGAAAAAAAAAAGCAAATTTATGGTTTCTTTTGAATTTCTGCAAGTGTTTCTTTATAGTCTAATAGATGAGGATGATTTGAAGGCAATTTTTCTTGAGCAATTTCTATCGCTTCTTGAATATTTTTCATTGCCATACTATATTGTTGAGTAGCCAAATACAATTTTGCTATATTGTGATAAGTTACAGCTAAATCTGGATGATTTTTTGGAAGTTTCTTTTCACGAATTTCTAATCCTTTTTCAAAGTATGTCATTGCTGTTGGATAATCTTGTATTTGTCGATAAGTTTCACCTAAATTTATATATGTCGTTGCGCATTGCAGAGGACTACATTGAACATTTTCTTGAATATCTAATGCTTTTCGATGAAATGAAAGTGATCTTTCATATTCTCCCACTGATCGATGAACGTCACCAATATTACTGTATGTTACAGCAAAATCTGGATGTCTCTCAGGTAATGTTTTTTGACCTATTAAGAGGCTTTGTTCAAAATATTCAAGTGCCTTTGAATAATCTTTCATACTGCGATAAACTCTTCCGAAACAACTACATGTTAGGGTCCATGTTGGATCACCTTCCTGAAATGCTTTTTGAAGAGCATCAACCGCTGCTGTATAATCACCCAAGTCATGATACACCGCACCAATATTGTGGTAGCAACCAGCCAAATCAAGATGATTCTGAGGCAAAGCTTTTTCTCTTATTTTCAGTGCTTTTTCGTAAAACTTGAGTGCTTCGGAGTAGTCACCCATGTTGTGATAAACTAGACCGATATTGCTGTAGAAAACAGGTAATAAGGGATGATTCAGAAGCAGAGCTTCTTCTGTTATCTTAAGCGCTTTGTTGTAAAATTCAAGTGCTCTGGAGTAGTCACCTATTTTGTTATACACCACACCAATGTTATTGTAGGAAGTAGCCAAATCAGGATGATCAGAAGGCAGAACTTTTTGTAAAGTTTCATGCGCCTTTTCATAAAACTCAAGTGCTTTCGAGTAGTCACCCATGATGTTATGCGTTAAACCGATATTGGTGTGAGAAGTGGCCAAACCGGAATGATTCAGAGGCAGGAATTTTTCTTCTATTTGCAGTGCTTTGTCGTAAAATTCAACTGCTTTTGAATAATCACCCAAATCTTTATATGCCGAACCGATGTTATTGTAGGAAGTAGCCAAATCAGGATGATCCGGAGGTAGAGCTTTTTCGAATATTTGATGTGTCTTTTCATAAAACTCAAGTGCTTTCGAGTAGTCACCCTTCATGTTATACATCAAACCGATATCGTTGTAGGACATAGCCAAACTGGAATAATTCGGAGGCAGAACCTTTTCTTCTATTTCCAGTGCTTTTTCGCAAAATTCAAGTGCTTTCGGATAATCACCCATATCTTTATACGTCAAACCGACGTTGCTGTAGGAAGTCGCCAAATTAGGATGATCCGAAGGCAGAGCTTTTTCTATTATTTTCAATGCTTTGTCGTAAAATTCAAGCGCTTTTGAATATTCACTCATGCTAGAATAGATTCCACCGATGTTGCCGTAAGAAGTAGCCAAATCGAGATGATTCGGAGGCAGGGTGTTTTCGAAGACTTGACGTGCTTTTTCAAAAAATTCAAGTGCTTTCGAGTAGTTACCCATCTGGTTATATGCGTCAGCTATATTATTGTATATGACAGTCAAATAGGAGTTATCTTCCGGGAGCGTTTTCTGGTAGGTTTCGAGAGATTTTTCGTAAAATGATGCTGCTTCTTTATATTGTCCTTGGTCGCTTTTCACCAATCCAAGCTGGCGATATATATATGTTCTGTCACTGTCGCTGGAAGCCATCTCGAGTAGTTCATTGTATATCTTCTCCGCTTGATTGAGGTGACCAACTTTGAGCATCAGTGTATCCATTCGATGCCATCCAGTAGATCCTTGAGTCTCTACTCGCATCCAGTTTGTGAGAGTAGCGAGTTGTGGATCATTGTCGTCTGTGAGAGTCAACTGGACTTCCCATAGACGACTGTTGTTCGCGATCTGCTTGATTTCACCAACACGAAAAACAGTGTGCATTGAGAATAGTATTTCGTCTTCTTCGTTGTAGTCATTAACTTGCTGGATGGAGGCGAATGGAGTTGATTTGACGGTGGGATCGATGGACATTCGGAAGAGAATGCCCACCACATTGTTTGCTTGTGTGGCATTTTCTGCGTAGCTAAGAGAAACATCTCGATTTTCAGTAGTGCATAAAAAGTTGTTAAAGGACATCAAACCACCTTTCGTTTTCTGGAGTTTTTCAAAGTCACCGATGAATAAGCCTTGTCCTCGGTAAATAATCAGAGGATCTGTCTGAGAATCTATCAGTTGTTGCTTGTGTAGTTCCTCTATTTGGCAATGAAGATCATGAAGAAAGAAACCCATTTTCATACTTATATCAGATTCGAGTGTTTGAAGAGACCAGTTGAGCATCTCATGAAAGAAACACTCCCGAGTGTACCACCAAATTGATGATTGTGGACGATAATCGTGTTCAAATTCATCGATATGCTTTAATATAACGTCATTATTATTGTATTCGCTGCGCCAGAATTGAATAAAGTCTTTAATGGATTGTTCATTATGGTCAATTTCAAGTAGAATTTCCTTCAACAGTAGAGCATACATAAATGAGGGTTCAAGTTCATTTAAGTTTTGACTGGAATCTTCTTGATTCACACTAAGAAGGCTTATTGAGATGTCATCTTGGTTGCACTGCTTCACGCTCAACCGAAGTACTTTACAGATAGATGTGACGTCTGTAAATGTGCCTTCCATTTTGTTCCAATGTTCACTTAAATCTTCATGTCGAGTTTCGCTATCGCGAAAAATGTAAACTCTATGAAGGTGAGGAATATCATGGATGAGGCGCATCATGTGTTGTTCGATAGTACCCGTTACAATCAGAAACGCCTTTCTGTCATCAGCTTCGAGGAGAAAGTTGATACATTCATCGCTTTGTGTGAAAGTATGAATTTCGTTAACTATGCTTTGTAGTTGTGCCAACATATTTTGATAATCTTTATTAGCTTGATCAATATTAGCATCCAACCATATCAAATAGAAATCTTGAAAAATGTGATGTCTTGGACAAATGCTAGTCGACATTGTTGATGTTGTTATCAATGGCATTCGTGATGATGCAGCTGCAGGCTCGTTTGGTTTTTGTACATCCATATCGTTTTGAATGGTAAGTTGGTCGTCAATCGAAAACTGAGAGTAATTTTGACCGCTGAGACAAACATCACTTTCTCTTTTTATATATCTATTGATTCTTTTTTCTCTCTATTTTCGTACCACGCACAATGCTTTATGTCTTTTTTGTTGATAATCAAGAACTAAATATACCTGGTTATTGTTGAGAACAATATAGTGAAGAACCTGGAGAGAAGGACAGAGAAAAAGAGAGACGAAAGAAAATATTTATCTGTTGAAGACATCCGAACGAACAAACAGAAAAAACCAACAGCATCATTTTTCATATTATTACTCTTTCCCTCTTTCTCTTGCTTTCCTCTGTCCACAATAACCACAGTGACAATGCATAAGACATACTTTCTTCTTCAGTGATTTTCGTAAGCAAAACATCATTCATTATTTGTTTTTCATCGATTTTCTTCATGGCTTTCTTCTTTCTCTGTTTGCATTATATTGCTTTCGAAGCATTCAAGCTTGACATGACAAGAACGAAAAAAAGCATCGCTACTTCGATTTTTTTCATTGTACAGTGAAACATTTAATGGCTGTTACACTCTCTCGGAGACACAAAAGTACCTTTTTCCGATTCATTTTTTCAACACCTAATATGCTGTGTGAAAAAAAAATACACAAGATACAGCGTGAAAACCTTTGCAATATACAAAGGATAGCTTCTTTTAAAATTGCACTTTTTGTTGTCAAAATGGATAAAAATCTGAGCCACTAATTTTTAACACTTCGAAAGAAAACAGTTTTCTGATATACTGTGAACTCCTTTTCTTATGTCATCAAATAATGAATCATGTTTTTTTAACTTTATCCCATTGCTCGACCATTGAATATGACTTTTAATACAGCTCATTGACCAAAACAATAAGAAAAGAAATTGATCGTGTACCAAAACATAGGCACACAGAATTTTGTTGATTTTGAGAAAAAAAAGTGCAATTATAAAATAAGCTGTCCTTTGTTACTTGTAGAGCCTCTACGCTGCATCTTGTGGTATATTCTGTTTTTTTTAATACAGCGTATTAGGTGATGAAAAAACGAATCAGAAAAAGGTTCTTTTTTGTCCGAGAGAGAATGCATCACAATACTAAGCAGGAATAAACAAAATATTGAATATACAAGTCGCCAAGAAAGAGAAAATTAAAGAGTAGAATTACCACAAATCAAAATACATTCTCTTTTTTTTCCTCGCAGGCGTGATATGTATGTAAATTTTCTTTTGATTTCGATGCTATGAAAAGAAACATGATCGATGGCTTATTTCATTATGCATAGTTACAAAAGAGAATAGTCAAGACGCGTGACGATATGTTTTTGAAGCTTTCACAATTGAAAACGATAGTGCAAGTAGATTCAACACCGTCGGAAACATATATTTTCATGCATAATTTACGTTCATTCAGCATGTGAAAAAACTATGTTATTTGATATCTTACAAAACCTGTAATTCTTTAAGAAGAAGATCAGATGATGTGAAAATTGTATGGTAGGTAGAGAAAGAGTCAGGCTACATTCTGGTATAATTTGAACTTATGTTTCTATGGGAACAATGGGAGTGATGTATTGAAAAAGATATTCATTTGCAAAGATATGTGGAAAACTTTTCCAATTCCAATGGTTTGCATACAGCCAGATGCTCCCAGCGCCACTCTATATAACGGCTAAAATACGAGCTTGTTAGCTATCAACGGTGAAGAGTTGTTCAAAAAATGGCGGCTGCCATTTAAAAAAAATCGACATTAGTCTAGAAATATTTTCCAGAGAATGCTTTTCCAGTCATTACTCACAACCAATGCATAAATATTGGTATTAATATCCAGTAGAATTGATTTGCAAATATAAGTGAATTGCTTAAATGGAACACTGTCCAAGAACAAGATGTCGACAAAAACCACTGATTGTTTGAGAAAGTCGAGAATTGAGACTGTCGAAAGATAAAAGAGAATATCAGCTGATGATAAATATCGATAGATAAATAAAAGTATTTCATCAGGTAATTTTCCAAAATTGTTTATAACTAATGTGAAAGATGACATCTGAAATTTCAAGTCAGATCCTGCCTCTATATTTGTCAAAGTTTTGTAGCAATTAAGAATATACTCTTACGATCTCTTGTCGTTTATTAAGACAGAGTACAACATGATTGTCATGGATACGTGAGAAAAAAAACACGCTTTCTCTTATGTTTTTTCGTATTTTGCGAGAAAGGTGAAGTGTCATTGATAGAAGAAAAAGGAGATATTACTTTGTTTTCTTGTAACAGTACATAAAATAATAATATTGGCATTAAATACATTTCTTGCAAAATTAACTCTACAAAATCGCATTTCAATTGATAATTTGCCCATTTGAAATTTCATCAATTTTGATATTACAAGATAGTTAATTTTAGTATATAACACTTGTGATCTTTGTTTTTTGTAGTATAATTTACTTTCTTTCACTTTTATTTATTTTTTACTCTTTCAGAGATTTCGATCGCGACTCTATGTGACTCATTTTGTTCTTGACTAAAATAAAGAAACAAAGTATTTCGTATACACAACGCATATTAATTCGTTTCTATTTTTCTCCATACAATTTGATAATGAATGAGTTCGAAGATGTCAAATACTATTATTAGTAAAAGAAACTTGATTCTGTTCATTGCCTCTAAATTTCGACTATAAGCATGAAAAGAAAATCGTGAAAGAAAAATCTATTATTAAGTGCGCTTAATTTGTACATTTTATTCTCATTAGCATCAGACCGAAGAGGTTAGGATGATAGTTAATACTGCGTGATTCATCTGACAAAAATGAAGATGAAAACAATTACTTGTCAAAAGTCAAACGAGACTAACATTTACATCAAAGTGTTAAAATAAGTTTTATATCGAGAAAAGCACAACTAAAATGTTTTTATCAATATTTCATTTCCGGTCGTTTTTTTTGGTATTAAACGGATTGCTATTCAACGAATTAATTTTTTGTCTTGCAAACTATCATCTGACATCAATATCAACCATTCTAATCTTTTAAAATTTTATTGAAATATTTCAAATATTTTTCTGAATTAGCAGTCGATTAAAAAAAAAACTTAGTTCAATAAATGAATAAAAAATTTAATTTAGAGCCACACTCGAAATATCTCATTAGTATAATCAACCATAAATGAATCATATTGAACCAGGATCAACTTCTAAATCGATATCATTGGAATATTTTCATGAAACAATATCTGTTACAAAACGTCTTAATGTTTCATGTAAATTGAAGAGAGAGAGAGAAATAAACGAAAAGAAAAAAACAACAACTCTAACAACGTATTTATGAAAAGCAAATTCATTTAAATTTTTTATTCCGATGGATCAATCAAGTACAAAACAATTATCTGAAATTAATTTACCTGATAACGTAAACACAAATATTTAA